AAAAAAAAAAAAAAAAAACATAACAGCAGATGGGAATGGCCTGAAGAAACTCACAAAGAAATGCATCATGTGCTGAAGCAATTGCATCATTCGTTTCACTTCTACCCATGCATGAAACATTCGTTATTATTTCACCAGTTGCAGGATCTTGGACCTGACCCAAAAGACAATAAGTATTAATCCACTGTGCTGTCAGAAAAACCTCCTCACAAGTTCACTTCCTGTGTTGCCTTTTCATCAACAATAAATGAACTGCCTAACCTCAATAGTCTTCCCATCGTATGCATCGGTCCACTTTCCTCCTATAAATCCCTGACTACGAATAAAGCCCGCACTGTTCAAGCGAGCAGCTATACTCTGAGCATCCGTACTCATCTGCCATCGAATTACAGTTTTCAAACGGAATCATGCATGTATACAGTATTACTAACAGTGAAAAACAAGAATCAAAGCCTAAATTTTCAATGGAACACTCCATTAATAACCAACGAAATCTTCAGCCATTAATCAAATTGAATGCAGCAAATCTAGCGAAGACACGACTATTTTGCTCGCGAATAACTGGAAGATGAATCCAAATCAAGTGCGCAGGTAATTTCACGCTCATTAACAAAATCATTCCCCTAAACTCACGATGAAGGAAGAAACACGATCTGATCAAACAAACAGGTGTTCGAAGCTCTTGAAAAGCGTCAACAAAATTGATCAAATCCAAAGAAGGTAGAGAAAACTGCGAGTTACCTGATGAGAATGAATAGCAGCGGACGGTGGGCGTCGTTGACGAGAGGTGTTGAGAAAGCCGACTGAGCAGCGGCGGAAAGCCGTGCCTATGCGTGTCCACCCCATTTGCTTCGCAAGTGTCGTCCTCATACTGTCTATTGCAATGTGTTGCAATTTATCCGAAACATTATTGTGTTAGTCAGACAATTTTTTTATTAATTTTCATGTAGAGTAACAAAATGATTGAAGGATGTCAAATTTGATTTGTTAACTGAAGAGTCTACGGAGTATCATATCATATTGTTGATCTTTGAAAATTTTGAGCAGTTTTTCGTTCTTATCTGCCTATGTGCAGCTGTCCGCTGTCGCGATGCACTCTTCCATGTAACTACTGCTTTGATTAATGACCAAAAAAACGTATAATTCCTTTTATATTTTTAATAAGTGTCGTTTTACACTGTAATTAAATTTTTTTTTGCCGATACTAACCCTTGAAGATAGAGATAAATGTTTTGAAAAATAAAAAAAGACTGAATAACCCTTGAAGATAGAGATAAATGTTTTGAAAAATAAAAAAAGACTGAATATGAAAATACGTAATGTATTTATTAATTAGATTAGAATAATTATAGAAAAATATGAAAAATAAAAAAAGACTGAATATGAGAATACGTAATGTATTTATTAACTAGATGAGAATAATTATAGAAAAATCTATTTATATATAAAAAGAATTACCATTTACTAAAAATAGTAGCAAAAATTTAGGAAACATTTAATGCATACTATTGTTGGAAATTTTTTAAATATATGCATTGCTTCTATTTACACGTTTTCAAATAAGATCAAATAATTACTTAAATAAATTTATTAATATTTGCAGTATTTTCATTGATATTTATTATAATAAATTACAAAATTGATTTTTGTGATTCATGTTGATAATATTTTGGTCAAGATAAATATTATTTTATTAATATTTATAATACTTCCATTGATATTCATTATAATAAATTACAAGATTGATTTCTGCGATCCATGTTGATAATATTTTGGTCAAGATAATATTACACCATATTTTAAGTTCTAACCATAATTTAAGTTTTTTTTTTCCACCAATATTCATTTTTATCCAAAAATATTTATGGAAAATCGTAACAGGTTAGGTAGATTTTTTTTTCCAAGTAATCAGACTAAATCAAGTTGGTGAATTAATCTTTGCCAATATTTGTTTCTTAAGTTTTATTTTGTTAAATATAAAAAATAAATCGTTCTTCAAATTATTATAATTTACAATTTAAGTGATAATGACCAAATACAATAAATAGTTTTACTAATATTAAAAAATTAAAATTGAAACATATTAACTGTTGTTTAGAATTTATTTGTATATTATTGGCACCCATGATTATATTTTTTTCATTTTTTTTATTTATTTCTATAATTAAATTCTTGTAAAATATATTTTCATTGTCGAGTACGCTAAATAAACCATAAATCCATATAATGTGAATTAGAAAAAATTCTTGATCATAAAGGGACCGAATTTTTGAGATTTTCTAAATCAAAATTGTTTAATTAGTATACCATATTAAATTCTAAAAAAAAAACATGTGTATATTTTGTAAAATATTTATACACTATTTAATATTAAATTTGTTTACATATTTTAAATTGATTACATAAATAAATAATATCAACGTGCATTAGATATTTTTCATTACATAAAATAAAAATAAAATGAAGACTTTATTAATAAAAATGACTTTATATGACATACCGTGTATAATAAAATAATAATTAAGTACTATATGGTGAACAAGAATAAGTAAAATTGTTATTCTCTCTTATATCAAGGGATAAATCAAATTTAAATCAAATTTAAATTAGGATAAATATGTTAGTGAAATAATATATTAATTATTTTAATATTTTGACTAAAAAATAACGTTGATTAAGAGAGGTGCAAAATATATTATAACCTTATTGTTTATTATACTTAACACTGACTAAAAGAGATGAAAAATAGATGACTAAAAGAGATGAAAAATAGATGATAATCCTATTGCTTTATATACTTAAACGAACAAAGCATGTGAAAATAACTCATTTAATATTTATGTCCCGTGCATCGCACGGGGTACGTACTAGTATGTGCAAAAAATCCAAAACATCA